CTAACCCTAACCCTAACCCTAACAATAACCCTAACCCTAACCCTAACCCCTAACCCCTAACCATAACCATAACCATAACCATAACCCTAACCCTTACCCTAACCTTCTAACCCTAACCCCTAACCCTAAACCTAACCCTTCATTTTAGAAACTTCCACATTTAAATCCAAATTAAATCAACATTTGGTAAAGATTGTTTATATGTCATCGTTATAATGATATTACATGAATCTGTTAATGCATTTTATTCATTGGAAAGAACTGTAACCAAGTTTTAAAGGATCTTCTCAATTTTAAAAGGATGTAATTGTTTTATTAACAGCTTCACCTCAAAGCAGTATGAGTTATATTATGTTAAAGGTCTCTCCTAATATTTCTTAATTCTGTTCATTGGCTTCAGTACCTCTGATTTACTTTAGGAATCACTGTAATGTATTTGTGTGTATTAGTATGTAAGGATAAGAAATTTGTATTGCCATCAGATATTAGAGATAAGAGATCAGAGTTAGTTTGGTCAGTCGAACCAATAGCTTGATTGTCTCAGGAGACTCCAGATCTGTCAGCCAGAAAAATAAACGTAGAGGTCAGTCAGTTTGTAGTTGATCTCTAGAAAACATCGTAGCTCTTGTGTTACCTGTTGGAGATCCAAAAGAGGGGAACACCCCCAGAAAACCTTATCAACAGTTTGTTGTCAGTGTTAACTTTAAGTAAAGGTGTTAAAAACAATTATAGCCTCCGGACAGTGACATGGTACACAGTCAAAGAGCTCATTACAGTAAATCATGCAAAGTCATCAATAGCGGGTATGATCTCCAGCAGCCGCTTGCAGCTCCCTCACCCTCCATGGCATACCCTGTGACAAGTTTGTCAGAGTTTGGATGGGAATATCTTTCCCCGCAGTGATAATTGCCTGTGGTAATTCAAGATTTACCCGCTGATGATCACAGCTATTTTAATAAAATAAAATTAAAATTCTGCGAGTAACTGCAGCCCACAGATTCTAAATAAGATTCATATCTGGGGAGTTTGCAGGCCAGGGCAGTTGCTGAACCCCTTGGTTTTGAAAAAAAAAGCATTGATTCTGCGAGCTCGATGTGTGGGTGCGTTGTCGTCTTGGTACTCATATTTGTCCCTGAAGGTGGCACTTGCAAAAAATCGTGGTTGAGGTTGCCTTCTAGAAAAACCAATTGACTCTTGGCACCGGCATGTAGAGACGCTACCACCCCCTGCTTCCACTCAAATGCAGTACCGAGCATCGCTTTTTGTTTTTCGTTTTTTTTTTAATATCTGCTTCCCATATGTTCTATTTACACTTTCTTAACATTATTTTCCATTGTCTATAGATTACTGGACTGTGGACGATGTAGTTTACTTGTTGACCAAGTCATCCCATTATATCATATAAGTTGATATGTTGACCAACTCATCCCATGATAGCACATAAGTTGACATGTTGACCAACTCATCCCATGATATCACATAAGTTGACATGTTGACCAACTCATCCCATGAAACATAAGTTGACATGTTGACCAACTCATCCCATGATATCACATAAGTTGATATGTTGACCAACTCATCCCATTATATCACATCAGTTGATATGTTGACCAACTCATCCCATGATATCACATAAGTTGACATGTTGACCAAACTCATCCCATGATATCACATAAGTTGACATTTACAAGACATCTCCAGAAGGTGATGTGGATGGTGGGGACATAGGAGATGAAGACGACGGGATCTCAACTGGGGGTTGAAGCCACATACACAAATATGCTGTTTTGCATGTGTAATGAATCAACCCGATCCACTATATAGAGATGACTTCAACGCAAACTTAAGCTTCGCCTATGGCTGATACTGTCATAAGTGAATCTGATGTAGTCCATAAATTTTGTCAATAGTGACGGTAGCCTTAGGTCCCAGTGATCAGTAATTCTGAATGATATTGCCGAGATTGGTAGAGAAAGAACGGTTTTACTTATAGAATATGCCAGATATCCTACAGTGCCTCTGTTTTCTTTTTCAATGGCGTTTTTTGTAATAAATTATACTCAGATAAAGATAAATAAGCTTTTGACGTGTTTTTATGTGCAGATCTAATTATTTTATTTATCTCCCTTGCAATTTCACACAACTTCTATTCTCCAAAAAATGGCCATTTTTAATATTTTCTCATTTTCATACTTTCAAAAACATTATTAAAGAAATGTACCGAAATTTAGAAGTAATTACTTAAATATAAAGAATTTTTGTTCGTAGGGAAAAAAATCAAAATATAACATTTCATCTTCATTTAAAATTGAAGTCTTTGTTTATACGGCAAAAGTTCCTTTTAACCTACACGTGTCAGCTGTCGCATGTATGGGACGCACATTATTTCTTACAAAAATGTATAAAACACTATTTATATCTTAAATTATGTTTGATTTGCATGTTTTTGGTCCTGTTACTTAGTAAGTTTGACTGTCAGCAACATTATGCAAAAAGTCATGGGCGGAATTTGGTGCAATTTCAGGAGAAAGGTTCATATGGTTTGGCAGGAAAATACGCCTTAAGCCTAGATTGCATTTACACGGGCGCCGTGCGATGAAATTGTCCGTACGATTTTTCTTTTTCTTTCTTTATTTATTTTTTGTTTAATTTTTGAAATCGTAAGGAACTACGGGCTACGCCGAATATGTTTACATTACATGGCCTTAAATCCGTACGATTCCGTGCGATTAAGCACTAGTACTGCCACCGTCTACCTCCGCTCAGACGCCGTACGAAAAGGGTATTACGGGCAGTATACGTGCACCGTATGGGCATCGCATTTTAAATGTAATCTAGGCTTTAGAAATTTACACGTTATTCCATATTTGCGAATGTAAAATATTGGGAGTGTTATAAACCTTTAATACCCCAAAATATTTATTTTTGGGTCCATTAACTTCATACTCCTGGCCATTAGGCCATGATTTGAATACTAATACTGCATTTTTTTCCTACCAAAGCGGTGTTAGACCCCATTTCCAGAGATTAGATCGACCTAACCCCCTGGGGGTTCACGCTAAATAGCTGTCAGCCGAGCGGACACGAAAGTTAATTACCCCCTTACAGCTTGTAGTAGGCGGGACGGACATTTAAGCCGGATTATCTGACAGTAATCTAGTGAGACTCCCCGCGGGGATAGATCGATCTAAAAGCTCTGGGAATACAGCCTTAGTATGCACTCTTAGTGCTCTTTTAGTTTTTAAGTCAAAGTTGGTGATAATGATACTGTCACAAGATGAAGTTACAAAGAAGTATCTATCGTGTTCGTATTTTGTTCATTTGTGACATTGGATATTTAAAAAAAATTGTGTGGTGCCATTTGTTTTATCCAAATCATCATGCACATGTAAATCATAGAAACAGAAATCACATTTCTTTATTTTTAAGCTTTACCAGGATATGTTTTAAATACATCAGTGGACAACAGTTTGTAAGGAAAAACAGCAATAATACTTTATTACACACCATTACCGTTTTCATCTCACCTTCCTGCTAACATTTCAACAGAGGTTCTCCGCTAAATTTCTTTCATTCTCTTGTTCTGACCAAACAAAACGTGCAGTGCCACGCTTCAACGGTATACAGAGAGGAAGTGCTAACAGATCAAACTTTAAATTAATCAAAGTTTACAATTATACGTGTAGCAGTTACCTGACCGTTCATTAAGTCAACATCTGGGGAAGACCTACATGCCTTCCTGACCCAAACAATAATGGATAAATAAAATTAAAATACAGAAAGCCTTCATTTGCATTATTCTTATTTTAAAATTTATAAATGGCAAGAGTTGCAGCCAAAATTTGAGACTGACATTTAGAGTGTATTCAGAACATGATCCACAGATTAACTGATCCCCTGACTAAATATGGCCAACTTTTAAAAGCAGCTCTGCTTAATCCCATGATGGTCTCCCCACCTCTGCATGCCCTAACCTTAACTCTTAAGAGCAGTTCTACTTAATCCCATGATGGTCTCCCCACCTCTGCATGCCCTAACCCTAACTCTTAAGAACAGTTCTACTTAATCCCATGATGGTCTCCCCACCTCTGCATGCCCTAACCCTAACTCTTAAGAACAGTTCTACTTAATCCCATGATGGTCTCCCCACCTCTGCATGCCCCATTAAGCAGATTAAATCTGGGCTCTGATGTTTAATTACAAAGCCCGTCACATCAGTGCATGTGGAGTTAGGGAGGCCATCAAGGAATTGGTTGGCACTGCTTTAAAGTGAGTCAGCCATTTTAAGTAAGTCTGCAGAACAATTTGATCCGAACGATCTCTTATAGATAAGAGGTGGACACAGTAATTGTCCAAAATTTTAAGTTAATGCAAGTGAAATCAAGATGAGCTCTTCAGGCTTTATTAATTGGCATCAGGGACTTTTGTCCAATTTTTTAAAAAATCATGAAAATTAACAGTAAGAGTTGTAGCAGAAATTTGACACTGTCACACATTAACTCAAATAAGCAGCTACAGGAATTGTCCAAAATTTCAAGTTGATGCAAGATGAGCTCTTCAGGTTGTATAAATTGGCATTTAGGATTTTTGTCCAATTTAAACAAATCATGCCAATTAACAGTAAAATGTTGTCACCTATATCTCAACATTTACTTGTACAGAACATTGCCAATTTGAAAGTGCTCAGTGGTTTGTCATTCCCCTTTCACAAATTGCCAAAGTGCCCTTAATATTAATTATATATCTAAAACTGGGTTCATATCTTCAACTTGAGCTGTATCTATATATTAGAATTACCAAGATACACATACAACAATCAAATGGAAATCGTTGACCATCATTTTACTAGTATATCATTTTCAATGAATAATGAAGCTTAAACAAAAAGTACAAAAACAGCACAGCTATAAGTATTCTTAGGATTTATACTTTTCTATTATATAAAAGGAAAACAAGTGACATGCTTGTGATATTTACTTTTGTATATGCGGCAATTTAAATTGTTCTTCAGAACTTTGCAATATATTTGCCACATGGACAGTTAATTCTGCACTGTTTTTTATCTAGTGGTCACTAGTCCATCTTTTTTCTGATGTTTTTCCTTCCTTTACAGTGGTCACTTTCAAAAGTCTTTCCAAAATTTGAGTGCAGATTTATAAGACATGTCTCACTAGGTTTTTACATTTATAGGCCAACATTAAATATCATAGCACATGTGTTATGATACACAAATATACACAGAAAGAGGTCTTCATTACAAGACCAAATAGAATGGTAATTGTTGACAGAACTTGCCCAATCTCAGCCAAGGATAGAAATCACAACTTGACTTATCCATAAAATAATACTATAATTTGTACAATATCATCATTCAGGACATAGAAAGTCATTTGTTCTCTGGCTACTCTCAATGTCACATACGTCATCCTCGCTGGGATAGTTCAACAGCAACAGTCAATTATGGAATTGTTAGAGCAGTTAACGCCCACTCTTGGAATGCTGTATCAACCACTGTAATGTGATATCTGAAATATAATAAATTAACAGTTAACGCCCACTCTTGGAATGCTGTATCAACCACTGTAATGTGATATCTGAAATATAATAAATTAACAGTTAACGCCCACTCTTGGAATGCTGTATCAACCACTGTAATGTGATATCTGAAATATCAGAAATAACAAATTGTCAAAAATTCTAAACAACTTAAAAAACAATTTTAGAAGACAAGCAATACAAGTACAATACAAAAAAATTATAAACATGTTTGTTAAATTCTTTTTTTTTTTTTTTTTTGAGACATACATATCAAAATAGCTCTACTAACAGAGGCTCATTATCATTAAAAATTAAACCTCGTGTTACATGTTTTGTTTGTGGACAGCTGATATTGTGTAAAATGTTATACAAACCCCAAGGCTTTTTTCTTTAAAAATAGTTAATAGAATGATCAATTCCAGTGCCTAAGTGTGAAGTACAGATGTACCCATCTTTTGTTTTTTTGAAGTAATGACAGTTATGAAAATTTTTTATTTATTTTTTAAATTTTTTTTCCATCTAAACTTACCTATATTTTCCTTTTCTTTACATGAGATTGAGTAACAACAAATTTCCCTATCTTGGATGGCTGACAAATTCCTGAAATTAAAGAAAATATCACAGGAGAGAAACCAAATAATGTTAGTATATAGAGATGCAATTCTTCTGTTTGACAAACTGAACGCTGGTGACTGGCAGGCAATTTAAATATGGTGAAAAATTTATGTCCACATTCATTACTACCAACTTTTTTTCAAATCTAAAGTCACTGTGAAGTGTCTGGCACATCAGAAGAAGTGGTCACAGTTCCTCCAAGCCTCCCTCACTTACATTCTTTCTATCAATTGTTTCTCATCCAGAGCACCTGGCAGGTCCCTCTTGTTGCCCAGAACTAGGACAGGAATACCCTGGAGCTGAGGCTTGTCCAGCAAATTATGAAGCTCATTTCTTGAGGCTTCCACTTTATCCTGGTCTGCAGCATCTACCATATACCTGGAAATATCAACAGACTATTTCAACATTCTACTTCTTTATCTATACAACACTACACCATATACCTGGAAATATCAACAGACTATTTCAACATTCTACTTCTTTATCTATACAACACTACACCATATACCTGGAAATATCAACAGACTATTTCAACATTCTACTTCTTTATCTATACAACACTACACCATATACCTGGAAATATCAACAGACTATTTCAACATTCTACTTCTTTATCTATACAACACTACACCATATACCTGGAAATATCAACAGACTATTTCAACATTCTACTTCTTTATCTATACAACACTACACCATATACCTGGAAATATCAACAGACTATTTCAACATTCTACTTCTTTATCTATACAACACTACACCATATACCTGGAAATATCAACAGACTATTTCAACATTCTACTTCTTTATCTATACAACACTACACCATATACCTGGAAATATCAACAGACTATTTCAACATTCTACTTCTTTATCTATACAACACTACACCATATACCTGGAAATATCAACAGACTATTTCAACATTCTACTTCTTTATCTATACAACACTACACCATATACCTGGAAATATCAACAGACTATTTCAACATTCTACTTCTTTATCTATACAACACTACACCATATACCTGGAAATATCAACAGACTATTTCAACATTCTACTTCTTTATCTATACAACACTACACCATATACCTGGAAATATCAACAGACTATTTCAACATTCTACTTCTTTATCTATACAACACTACACCATATACCTGGAAATATCAACAGACTATTTCAACATTCTACTTCTTTATCTATACAACACTACACCATATACCTGGAAATATCAACAGACTATTTCAACATTCTACTTCTTTATCTACACAACACTACACCGATAACAGCACCGGGCTCACTATAACTAGACTTTTCTCAGACAAACCATTCCATTCAACAAGATCAGTGACATCTGACAAAAAACTGGTATTCTACATTTTAAAGCAAACATCATTTGGCTTATTAGAAATATGTGAGCATTCATTTCCAGGAAATAGTGTGTGTGTGTGTGTATGAGAGAGAGAGAGAGAGAGAGAGAGAGAAAGAGAGAGAGAGAGAGTGAATGAGAGAGAGAGAGGTGAATTAAGTGTAAATCTATACACATACTGAACATCTTCTGTATTTCCAGACAAATTAATCAATACCACTGAGTACAATAGTGGTTATACCACACAGATGAAGATATTAGTGAAATGAAGGCCCCTGTTAGTCCATTATAATGCATTAGAAATTCACTTTTCACATTGGGATTGTCCTATACAAAGCACATGGTTTATTGGGCAGATGGGAACAGGTTGTAAATCTGTCTTTGATGAATATTAAAAACTGAACATTTTTATTTCCAGGACATTTTTTATAAATTTTGTAAGTTATATGTAGTCTCTAATTCCTATTGTTAAGTTATATGTAGTCTACGAATAGCATCATATAAACATCTCCAATTCCTATTGTTAAGTTATATGTAGTCTATGAATAGCATCATATAAACATNAACCCTAACCCTAACCCTAACCCTAACCCTAACCCTAACCCTAACCCTAACCCTAACCCTAACCCTAACCCTAACCCTAACCCTAACCCTAACCCTAACCCTAACCCTAACCCTAACCCTAACCCTAACCCTAACCCTAACCCTAACCCTAACCCTAACCCTAACCCTAACCCTAACCCTAACCCTAACCCTAACCCTAACCCTAACCCTAACCCTAACCCTAACCCTAACCCTAACCCTAACCCTAACCCTAACCCTAACCCTAACCCTAACCCTAACCCTAACCCTAACCCTAACCCTAACCCTAACCCTAACCCTAACCCTAACCCTAACCCTAACCCTAACCCTAACCCTAACCCTAACCCTAACCCTAACCCTAACCCTAACCCTAACCCTAACCCTAACCCTAACCCTAACCCTAACCCTAACCCTAACCCTAACCCTAACCCTAACCCTAACCCTAACCCTAACCCTAACCCTAACCCTAACCCTAACCCTAACCCTAACCCTAACCCTAACCCTAACCCTAACCCTAACCCTAACCCTAACCCTAACCCTAACCCTAACCCTAACCCTAACCCTAACCCTAACCCTAACCCTAACCCTAACCCTAACCCTAACCCTAACCCTAACCCTAACCCTAACCCTAACCCTAACCCTAACCCTAACCCTAACCCTAACCCTAACCCTAACCCTAACCCTAACCCTAACCCTAACCCTAACCCTAACCCTAACCCTAACCCTAACCCTAACCCTAACCCTAACCCTAACCCTAACCCTAACCCTAACCCTAACCCTAACCCTAACCCTAACCCTAACCCTAACCCTAACCCTAACCCTAACCCTAACCCTAACCCTAACCCTAACCCTAACCCTAACCCTAACCCTAACCCTAACCCTAACCCTAACCCTAACCCTAACCCTAACCCTAACCCTAACCCTAACCCTAACCCTAACCCTAACCCTAACCCTAACCCTAACCCTAACCCTAACCCTAACCCTAACCCTAACCCTAACCCTAACCCTAACCCTAACCCTAACCCTAACCCTAACCCTAACCCTAACCCTAACCCTAACCCTAACCCTAACCCTAACCCTAACCCTAACCCTAACCCTAACCCTAACCCTAACCCTAACCCTAACCCTAACCCTAACCCTAACCCTAACCCTAACCCTAACCCTAACCCTAACCCTAACCCTAACCCTAACCCTAACCCTAACCCTAACCCTAACCCTAACCCTAACCCTAACCCTAACCCTAACCCTAACCCTAACCCTAACCCTAACCCTAACCCTAACCCTAACCCTAACCCTAACCCTAACCCTAACCCTAACCCTAACCCTAACCCTAACCCTAACCCTAACCCTAACCCTAACCCTAACCCTAACCCTAACCCTAACCCTAACCCTAACCCTAACCCTAACCCTAACCCTAACCCTAACCCTAACCCTAACCCTAACCCTAACCCTAACCCTAACCCTAACCCTAACCCTAACCCTAACCCTAACCCTAACCCTAACCCTAACCCTAACCCTAACCCTAACCCTAACCCTAACCCTAACCCTAACCCTAACCCTAACCCTAACCCTAACCCTAACCCTAACCCTAACCCTAACCCTAACCCTAACCCTAACCCTAACCCTAACCCTAACCCTAACCCTAACCCTAACCCTAACCCTAACCCTAACCCTAACCCTAACCCTAACCCTAACCCTAACCCTAACCCTAACCCTAACCCTAACCCTAACCCTAACCCTAACCCTAACCCTAACCCTAACCCTAACCCTAACCCTAACCCTAACCCTAACCCTAACCCTAACCCTAACCCTAACCCTAACCCTAACCCTAACCCTAACCCTAACCCTAACCCTAACCCTAACCCTAACCCTAACCCTAACCCTAACCCTAACCC